TGGAGAAGCAAAGCACTCTATCATTGTGTCATTCCAGTGACAAGTTGGTTTAGTATAGAAAGGTTTCATTTCCATGCCACTTCCATAGCTTTAACCAAGCCAGACAGAGCAAAACATAGCATTAAATTCAATTACGTTAAAACAAGAAGGCCATAAAACGGCCCTTCCAAGAAAAGCTTTCTGTCAAGTGCTCTATGGAAGAAAAAAAGGATGCAAATAGGCACAGCAGTGACTTGAGAATATCATGTTTTTTTTTTCCCTTCTGAAGAAGGGAAATGAGGAACTCATGCTGTTTTTGGACTTATGTATGTTCTCTGCTGGTGTAATGTGTTCAAGCTGGCCTGGCCTTGTTTAGCCCATGATGTGTCATCCTGAGGTTTGCTACAAATAAAACCCCCTGACACTCCAAGTGAGACATGCGCCATTCCGCCCACCCGTGTCTGGAGCATGCACTGGCGTGGGACGAACTACATGGTGAAACAGGGTGGGGGAAACTTTGAGGCAAATAAACAGTCTGGACTGTAAATCTAACAAACACTTAGAACTTGCTGAAGGGGCTCCTGCCCAGTCACAATAACTGCATGTACATGGTTCAGATACTTTAAAAAGCAACTGACTGTAAGGTATTTACCTTGAGGAATGACCTTCAGACTTGCAGAGGATGACATGATGTGATCAGACAAGTGAGGACTTAAATACTGCCAGCTCACTTGCCAAGAGGGATGTCACAATACCAGATCTTTGAATTTGATACCAATACCAAAACAATACAAGGGGGAAAAGTGTTTGCAATGTCTGCTGGACCGAACACTGAAAATGTTTAAATTGTTGCAGCTTCATAAAAGTGAAATTTCACCAAATTAAATGGCTAAAATGTAAACAAAGTAATTCAGAGTGAGCAGACGTGAAATGCGCCATTCTAGAGAAACTTACCCTGTTAGAATTGTTCACGTTGTTGGTAATAGGAACCAGACATCCAAAGCACTGAACACCTCTGAAGCTATCTTACAGAAAGTTATGACGCAAAACAGGTAAGTATATGCTGCCTGATGTCTAGGAGGATGATTTACGACAGCTCTGTGGTATGGTTTTGGCCAAAAGGTATTTTAAAATTACATTAATAATGAGATACATGCAGGGTTTCGCCAGGAAAAATAGCCCCCCCCAAAAATCACTAATTTCTACGTGTTGACTATTATCTATATTACCTATAATAACTCAGAAGACACATGCAGGTTCACTGATTGTTGTGGATAGTAAATAAAATGTCCATATTTGCATTAAAGACATGGTGACCCCTGGTCCCCATCACCACCACTGTAAAGAAATCTGGGTTGGTAAATTTCTACACAGTGAACCATTTTAAATCGAACCATTCAGTCTCAATGACTTCTTATGCAGAACTGTAGGGGAAAAAAATCAAGGGAATTTTCCTTCTTTTCCAATTCAATCTCTTTTTTCTCTACACAAAATAAATAATTTAAACTAATTTAACCCTTGTGTGGTGTTCATGTTTTTGATACTCAGTGGGTCTGATGGATCCACCACGTTATTGGCTTTTACAATTTATGTAAAAATACCAGATGTGTAAAATATCACAAGTGTCCAGTGTAAGGTTCTCCTTTAGCAGCTGTAGACAGTCAGCAGCCTGTCCATGTTGTCCACCCTCACACCCATGCATATAGACACACACACACTAACAGCAGGCCATGTAGGAGGAGAACACAGTGAATGGACACAGCACCTCCACACTTTTATTCCCAGTGGGTTCACCCCAACACCACATGTGTAACATAAATGTTTAGGGGGTATTCAGTGGTAAGTCAATAATAATGTGACATTTTATATGTTCTTGACAGAAAATGAGCAAAGGCCAAGGAGTCTGGGGTTGAAATAATAACAAATCATATCATTTTTGTCTTTTGGTAAACCTTGAAAATGTGTCCCGCAGACCCAACACCACACAAGGGTCACAAACTTCACAACATGAAACAAAACTCTTTCAAAGCCAATATATTTTGTTCTGTGTACACCTTTCCCCTGAATATCACTGTTTCCACTGAATTATGATTGTCTTTGTTAACCACAAGACACAATAGCAGCGATTTTCAACAACCTCAAAGAAATAATGTGTATACAGCAAAACATACCAAGAGAAACATTTCTGTTTGCCTCGTGGCACAACAGTTGTAATGTTTTTTTAAAAAAAGGCCATTCATTTTTCCAATAGAGATAAACTGCTTACAGCCAGAGTTCCTAATATGGGGATGACGGCAAAAACAAAATGTCAACACAACTTCAGAGGTCTATTGAAAGAGCACTGAACTTTCAAAACAATGCTTTTGGGAGATATAAAGTGCATCTAAGTAAAACAACTTACTATCATGTAAAAACGTTCTGATCATTATCAATGTTCACAAAGTGCTGAGGTGAGAGTCAGCTAAGCTGAAGAGATCACGCTGATCTGCTACATATTAGTGGTTTTGAATACACACTTTGCTAATTTCATAAAGTCTAACAGTAGGAAATACGGACTCTAAACTGAACTGATGTCAGACTCAAACAGTTTATAAAGTTTGTGTTAAAGCATCAGTTTGCATTCATATAACTGTGGATGACCTGTCATTTGTGGTCAAAATCTCTTCCTTTTTCATCCATCTCACCATCTTATTCTGTCCTGAAGCTGTTACAAACCAAAAATTAACCTAGACATATGATTTAAAAACTTCTTATTGAGCTCTTTATTTTCACTGACTAATGTAACAGCTAGTGGGGTCATCGCTATGTTCCCAGAGTCCTTTATTTGCTCACTGAAACATCTAGAAAACAGTCTTATTATTTTTGGTTTGTAATTTTGAAATATATATTTTTGTATATTTCCAGGGTGCTATGCTCCCTCATTACAATTTTCAAGGTAACAGCTATCCCATGGCCATGTTTCAACCCCAAGTTGCCTCAACAGGAAAATAAGACTAATATCTAATTAGTACTAATATTTGTACATTTCTGTGAAGAAGAATAAGAAACTATTCAGTGAAAGGTGAGATTTATATTATTTCAACTTCACAATATCAACAGCATCGTACATGTTCATTCCAAAGTTGGTATTCATGTTAACAATGGAATCTTTGAGGACACCTATAAGGAAAACATACATTCTAATATCATTTCTACATACCATGCTCTGGAGACTCGCTCTCACCACTCCACCTTTAGGGAATCCCTTATGCCATCTTGGGCTGTGCCATTTCTGTATTAGCTTAAATGACCAATTGGAGTGGCGAGGGGTCAAATTAACATAAATGTAGTCTTCAGGTGCAGAACTTGCCCAGAAATCATTGCAGTCTGACACAAAATCCTTAATATTCCAAAACTATGATATTTGATTTGCTGCGTAGAAATTGGGCTTTATGCATTAAATCCCTCATTTTCTTTACTCTGCTAGCTTGCTTGGCAAAAAAAGACCACTGCACCATGCTGAAACCAGACAAACTGATCGCAAAAGGTATGTACACTAGGCCCTGACTTCTGATAAAAAAAAAAAAGAAGAAAGAAGAGAAAGCATGTTTTGCATTACATCGTTTGCTTATCTACTTCATTAGTTCACTAAAAGCTGAGGGCAAATGTGCTTCTGTTGAACATTTTGCTCTTTGTTCTCCCCTGTAAGACCACAGTGACCCATTGTCCCTAACCATGACCTCAGGAACCTCCTCTTAGGTTTCCTTAATGTATCAGGTTGAGGTATTATGTGTCATTAGTATTATAGCTTGTTAGCACAGAAAAAAAAAAATCATGGATCATTTTTTTCCCCACTCTCTCCGACCTGTCAATGGATAGCTGTTAAACTGATTAAACAGTGTTTCTCCATTTTTCCCCATTCACCTCATAAATGCTACATTAGCTTAGGGCTAGTTACATTTCCTCTATGTACTTATGTACATTTTTAATGAGGTCTGTACTTTTCAAATGATAATACATTCACTTCAACTCAAATATACTTGTGAAGAATCTCTTTCCTGAGCTCAATTTTAGCTCTTCACATTTAATTCCTAATTCTTTTGTTTGAGGTGTAATTTCATTCTCTTCTGCAGGTTCAGCACCTTAGCTGCAGCTGTAGATCACACCTTTCACATTTCACGCTTTAAAATTTTAGTTTTTAGAGCAGAGTCTATATTCATCAGACGTATAAGAGTATGAATGCTGATCTGAGATCAGTTTGTTTCTTTTCCACACCACTGAAGAGGGTTACACGGACTGATGAGACCTGATCGTAGATCAGTGTTCTTACTCTGAGACGCTTGATAAATAGTGGAATCTCAAGAGAAACATAGCATCTAACAAACTTGTTTCCTTACCCTGATGGGGAAAAGAGTACTAAGCAGGTCTATGGTGGTTTAGCTAGACACCCAGCATGGTCATGCTGGTTGACCAGTATACCAGCATCCAAAACACAACCTATGCTGTTTTTTCTAGCAAGATACTGATAAGGGCTGGATGTAAGTTCCACTACAGCTCCATAGGGGACTCAGCACTTTTAAGGATGATTTTAGACTACTCTACTGTATCCACCTCTGACTGGGATTGAAGGTGAAATGACTCCATTGAAAAAACTTCAAAGCGATGCTGCTAGCAGGGGGTGGAAATAATAGTTTAAGAGAAAGTTTCCAGCTTTGGTAAGACGTAGCTTTTCCAGAATTTATATGACAGTAAATTAGTCTGAACACAGGGTGGTGGTGATCCATACAGGGTAAAACACAAACACATTTGCCTTTAATAAGCACCAGTCTGTTAAAAACGTGTTAACAAGCGCCCTCTTATGGTCATACAAAGGTATTTCATTAGGCACATACACTATACAGTGCATGAGTGTCCCAAAATTTCTCAGAAATGCTAATTAGATACCTACACAGAAAGGTTGTTAAAAGAAATTAACAGTTATATATCTGGATCATAAAAATATAAAAATCATCAACTTCATGAATCAAAACCTGCTAACTTACCTGAAAGCGGACTCTCTTAGGAGCCACCCTGTCGCTCTTGTTGGCCTGGTAGACACTGCAGATCATGCTGGACACTCTGGGTTAAATGAGATCCACAGCTGAATCCACTACCATCCTGAGAAACTTTAAAACAGCTCAGTAGCATTCATTCTTCTTAACAGTAGAGTCCACATTCAAGACAAGAACTAGACTGAACTGATTCCACTGACGTCCAGGGCTTGCTCTGTTTTGCTGTAGAGGACTGTATGGTTATTCATTTAAAAGTGGGAGGAAAAAATGAAAAGGCAGGCACACCTTCTCCTTCCTCTCCTCCCCAGCTCCAAATAAGGGCATTCATGATGAACTTCACATGCCCAGCCTGATGGCGCAGACAAAAGCCTGTACTATACACCGCAGAAATTATTGCTCAAGCTGTGCATGTCCCTCTTGGACATCCAGTTATATAAATAGCAAACCATCAGGACAGCTCATTGTGACGCTTCCTGAGTGATTTCAATTCCCTGTGGTTTGTGGGTTTGTTGCCTTCTTCATCTCACACACATACACAACATTAATCTCTCACTTTGATCAACTACATGCCCACACTCTCCTCTCGTTCTCATCTCCCCACCCTGTGGACATATTACAATGAGGAAAAAACAGATAAAAATCTGTACTCTAGCTATCGCAAGCCCCCTTTCTCGTCCGTAAAATCTCTTTAGAGATGGATTTTACGGCAGGAAACGCTGCACAAGTGATTTGTTTGGTGGGCTCAATCAGAGGGAGCTTCACAGTGAGTCAAGCCAGCTGTGCTAGAAACATGAAATAAATATAGATTAGGTAAAGTTGGGGGTGGCTGACACTAGAAAGTGTTACAGTGAAATTCTAAAGAACTGGACAGAGAAATGAGACTTGAGTCATAGACTAATTTTAACAAACAAAAATGTATAAAATTTCATTAAAAAAATAGTAAATCTCATCAGAATAACGACTGCTTGTTCTTCCTAAGAGAACCCATCAGAGTAAAGAGATCTTTTTAAATCGGGTCTTTTTATACACTTTAATAATTTCTTTAATAAGTTTACACTGGAATGTTATTCACCATGACCCTATTCATTATTTTACAGGGTTACAAAAACAGAAATTCTGATCTATCTTTCCATTTTCCACCAGCAATATGATTCCAACAAAACAGACATAACAAAAAAAACGAAAACTCAAACATTTAGTATCTCTTTTTTTCTTTTTCCCTCGTCAAGCTATGGAGAGACTCAAGGCATAAGTGTACAGAGAAAGAGATGGGGGGGCAATCTTCTGTGTTTCTTCTGCACAAGCATAAGAGCTCGAGACTGAGAAAGAGGCCCAGGGCTAAGCAGGCCTGATCTGAGGTAAGTTATGCATTACGCCAATCCCAACCACAGTTATAAGCAACCAAGAGGCAAGACTGGCGTAGGGCCTGCACTGGGAGTCAGCTGCTAGCAACAGCAGGTAAAACTGAAACTACTAAAACATTTTCCACAGTGCTCGCAATCAACTTTACCTTAAGCTAAGTCAGTGGATGCTAGCACTTCTGATATTCTGGAATGGACAAACACATTTGTCTTTTAATAAATGCAACAAATAAGATCTACGTGAGCCGGATTTCAGGTGGTTCTTCCAGGTCCTTCTAACATGTCAGAACTAACACGTTACACCACAGCTGAGTACACAATCACCAAAACTACAGGCAGCAAAGCTGTCGGCTCTCTGAATTACAGATAAAAGTAGCCCCAGGTGTTTTCAAAACAGCAATGTGTGTATTGCACTCTCTACAACAGCACCAGCACACAAAGCTGAGTGGTTGTGGATTTATCACCACTTGCTGGCGCAAAAGACAGATTATAGTTTGTAAATGAATTTCCCTAACACAGAAGAAAAGAAGAAGCCCAAATGCACATTCACTGGTATTACAAACGGGTTGAAACCTTTACAGTGACTTCAAAAAGGGACCCGAAAACGCCGAGTCCAACATGCTAACAAGACACTAATAAAAAAACAAAACAAAAAAAGATAATGTAGACAAAACAGACAGGAAACAGACACATACAAGCAAGACCACTTCACAGCAGATGAAAGATAGATGTATAAAAAAAAAATCCAGACATAAGATACATGAAAAAAGAGCCTTGCCATCAGACCTAGACAAAACAATGAGGTCCATCTGATAACACATGGTCCTGCCAACGCAAGCATGAACAGACCGTGGAACAGATCAACGGCGGATCATCCAGTCAAGGACCATTAGCAGGAAAAGACAAGCATGTCTTAGAAGAGAATTCAGAGCAGTACCCCAGTACACGTGAGATCAGAAAAAAAAAAACATCACCCTACCCAATTAACTTTACCCTTAATGCTAAATTAGATCAACCATCAATAAAACTCCATCATCTATACAACTGATTAAACAAAAGGTGGATTCATATAAATTATTCTTCTCAAGAATGGTACAGTCCCCCTTCATGGTTTGGCGCCTCCAGTTAAAACGCATCATCGGTTTGGCTGCGGCGTTCCTTTTCCTCATCTCAATAAGTCAATCCCTTTATAGAATGATTCACTTTTGTACAAAGATACAAATACAGCCAACACTGCCAGCCACGGTGAAAAGGGTCATTTTTCTTTTGGAGGAGAAAGAAGAAAGGTTCAAGTCCTGTTTAAGTACTGCTGAAGGCGAAAAGGTTCTCAACAACCTCTTCATGCCCTCTCTCTCTCACTCTAGCCTGTACTGTGTTTGTATTCATGTATTCAAGTCTACTGAATTGGTTTTCTTTGAAGTTGCTTTTGGGCTTTTCATTGGCAAAGGTTCTTCTTTTTATAGGATCTCGTACTTGTCGACAACAAATGATGTTTCTGTGGAGAACCGTACCGGACTGCTCCCGTCCACCTGAGACACTTTAGTGACCTAGAAGGGGCAAGGAAAGACAGAGCGATATTAAAAAATGACCGAAGTATAAATGAATTAACAGTGCCTCATTACTGATGATAGATAGGGGTCAAAAATATCACGGTTTCACAGCGTAGCAGTACTAAGCAGGAGGTGAAGATAAAAGGAAAACAATTATGAAACACGAACGTTACCAGTCACTTATGCATTCATTTCAGCATATTACATTGGTATTTTCCTTAAACAATAAAAGCTTGAACTACTTCTTTAACCTTTAAACAAGACATTTTTTTTATATTTCTGTGGGTTGAAGGCTTCAAGCGCAAAACCCCTGCATATGAAACGAGGATACCCAAAAGGAAACAAAAGTTTTCATCTTTAGTACATTTATAGTATTAGAAATCATTTGTAGTAGGAATGTGCAGCGAAATGTGACCGTTTTGCTCATATTTTCACGCATGTTATGTTATCCCTTTATGTTACTCTGAAACACGAGAGCCTGAACTTCAGCGCATTGCCAAGGTCTCACTGTTAAGGACATGGCTAAGAAAACAGAGATAGCGTGGCTAACTAGGCTAACTATTCTAGCTGATGTTAGCTAGGTCTAAAAACATACACAGATAATTATAGATAGAGACATAAATATATGATTCCATTACATCTCCCAGCTAGAGCTGGGCGATATGGCCAAAAATGTTATCACGATAAACAAAATTCATATCGTTCGATATCGATACATGCAGCGATAAATGTCAAATCATTATTTCTTTCAAGTTTGAAGGCTGAATTTTGCTCCTGGGTGGTTAATTGCTGTTTTAAGCTATCCTTTATGATCAGAACATGACAAACACTCGCTAAACAGTGGAACATTTCACAAGTCTGTCATGGGAGAGTGGGAGAGAGTGTCTGGTGAGCTGTTTTTACCAGCTGGAAAAGCATGGCTATTTTGTATAGTCATAATTTAAGAAAGAAAACAGATTATTTTTAGATGGTGGCGAGCGCTCGGCTACCCCGTTACAAATGACATCACAGTATTCAGACACCAGCTAGCGACGACTGGATTTCTCGTATCTATCGTAGTAGTTTGAGGGGTGAACCGCAAAATATCTAACACCAGACAAACGGAGTCCTCTTTTTAGCAACGTTTAAACTGAAAGCGGTGCTTTTGTGTCTCATTTGATCTACAGTATCATCAATTCTCCGTGCTGTGTGAGTGACGAAGTGCTGCTTCAAGTTAGCCGGCTGCTAAAAACAGCTAGCCCGGAAAGATAGCGCTCTCCCACTCTCCAATGCCTCACAGCGTCCTCAGTTTACTTTTGTTTAAATCAGGGCTGTAACTGACATGAACTCACTTCTTTCTTTCACTTTCGTTGCTTGGGAATGCACCAATACTAAAATATGACTTTTTAAGCGCTGTAACAGCGCTATAGTTGTGATGAGCAGACGTGATTTAACGCTGCTAAAGCTGGTTAGGATGTTAGTAAAGAGGTGAGTTCACTGTAGGACAGTACAGTTACACCACTGACCTCGTCACTCACACTCGGTCACAGGAGAACAGATCGCCTGTCGCTCCACTCAAACAGGGAATGTATAACTCAGCGTTTCAGCCGTTGCTAAAGACCCATCTTACTCGTGGCCCCCTCCCTGTCTAATCATGTCGAAAAACTCAGAAGTACACCCTCTCCTGGTGACAACAAAATAGTGTCACTTTCCTTGCAGTATAAAACGCCACCAGGGCTTTCGCTAGGAAGTGTAAGAATGGAGTATTATATCGAACATTTATCGAACATGTCGCATCGCTCTATCGAGGAAAAGTTGCATCGCGATAATTATCGATATCGTTTTATCGCCCAGCCCTACTCCCAGCTCAATATTTTTTTTTCTGTCATTATAAATCAAGAGGGCCTAAGTCAAAGTGAAAAAGTATTTAAAGGAATAAAAATAAAAAAAAATTCTCTCACTGATGTTGCTGGCTGGCAACATGCAGGTCTAAGCCAACAGCCGGAAAAATCTGCTAACTTCATGTACATCAACATTATGTGATTATTAGCTACCTAATAATAAGGAGAGAGCAAAGTTGAGAAAGACCTTGCATAGCCGCTGTTTGGGGTATTTATGGCCGATAATTCCATGTTTTCTGTATGTTTGGGAGCCAGCGTGTGTAAGATTACTAACTAGCAACGCAACATGCGTTTACAAAAGACATGGACTGCAAAGCCAATCTCCCAGCACTATGAAGTTCATGTCCCTAGCACACACCAAAACGTGAAGAAAGCTGCTGGAGCGAGTTTCAGGGGAAAATCGAGAAGGAGGGATTGCGCCAATAACAGGCTGAGAACCACTCATTTAAGGAACTATAATTCATAAACAGACAGAAATGGATTTTAATTTGTATTTTGGCAAAGTTAAATGGTGAGGTAACTGTCTAATTGTAAACTGTGACTTACCGTGAAACCATTACTCTAACAACCCTACTGATCATGCAGGGACAGACCATAATTAAATCAGTGTTGTGTTCTTAAGAAAAACAAATCTCTATTTATAATCTCAATGTGTGGATTCGTCTGGGAGCATACTAAACCAAAGTCCATGAACAAAGTCATTCTTTTATTCAACTACATGAGGTAGATGTTGTATATCGTTTACTGCCACAGGCAAATCTCTTTTGTTGCATGGTGTGAACATTCATGACAATTTGACAAGAAAAAAATCCAAAAATGGTCCAAAATTACCTGGAATGAAATATCATAATAATTTACATTAAATTAAGAATTGTTTTCATTCTTCTCCAAAGACACCATTTGGAAGATTTTCTTGTGGCATTGATAATATACTTTTATTTATTTGCCTCTGTACCTGAATGTCACAGTAGTTGCCCTTGGAGACGAAGGAGACATTGACAGGGAAGAAATCGTTCGGCTGGCCAGCTATGCTAAACTCTAGACTGCCAGTCTTATTCTTCACGTCCACCACAGGCAGACACCACTCCAGAACATTCCGTCTGCTGTCGTGACGATACTCTCCATCCAGGTCACCAATTACAGGAGCACCCACCCCTGACCTGTAATGAGCCATAAATAGCAAATATGCATTAGCAAATTACAAAACAAATTTATATCAAATATATAAAATTTATATCAAGAATTTGATATGGTCAGTGTTACTGAAGATGAACTAGGAATCCTCCAGGCTTTTGTGGCTAAAAAATAAATACTGCAAGCACACACCATACCACCCATGCTCCAGCACTGATGTGTTGTTTGTGTGTCCTTATGTGCCTTGTTAGTTCTTACGATTTTTTACTTTAGTTCTCAGTCTGCCTTTGTTTGTTGATGGATTTGCCTTTCTCGGATTTTGGCAATAATTTCCCCTGAACGGTTCACTAGCATTTGCATTGTGTCTCTAATCGCTTAATACACAGTCCATCACATGCAGAGCAAATTTACTGCATCTTATTCAGTTACGTCCAAATCTAGCAAGAATGGTGAGATGTTTTTTTTGCTTAATTCTCACTGTAATCTCTTAATAGGTTTAGATTTATGTAAGTAGTTTTTAAACAAATATAATGTTAATCTTTTTATTAATCAGAAAGCAAGTTAGGGCTTTACTGAACATTAAATGATAGATACCATTGCTAACTTGGCTAAAAATGGGAAAAAAACTGCCAAACGCTCCTAAAAGCAAAGTTGTTTGGGAGCTGAAAAGGCCAGCTTATACTGGTGAGCTGAACAAACTGATCTGACTCACCGAAAAAAGACAGAATGTCCAACACTAATTTGCAGTCTTTAATGAAAAGGGCTGTCAATGAAAACTAGGCATCTGGGTGCATCCTATCACAGTAAAATGAACTGGCAGGAGCAGATGTTAATACTTTGCATGCATTCTTGCTTGAATAATAATTTATACAGCTCGTTATACAAAGCATGAACCAAATTCTCCCATCAGTAATATTAAACAGACGTACGGTATGGGGATTGAGATAACAACATCATTGAGTTCCAGGGATTCTTCCTGCAGCTCGTACTCTATGTTAACATCACAGCCTGATCCACTTTCTGAGGGCCAGCAGTTTACTGCAGGAAAACAGAGCAGGAAAAAAAAACATTAATTGAGTCATCAGTACAACACTACAAACATAAAACTGTTGAGTTGGTGAACAATAACACTAACTTGTTAGCGGTATAAGGGACTCGTCTGTGGTCTGTAGTCTCCACTTCAGCACTCCCACGTCATTGTTCAGGGGGAAGGACTTGTCTGGGTTCTTTAGACCAATTAATGACTCTGCTGTGAACAGCTTCTTGTCCACATTGGGATGGGTCTGTAGGACAGAATTTCAGTTTCTCAAGGGATCTTGCAAGCCAGGGAAAACTGATGTAGACCAGAGTTCCATTACAGGTCATTATTGCCCTGAAGCAAGCATTCACATCTAACCATATACTGTAAGTTAGGCCTGCAGCTATTGATCATTTTCATTTTTAAATACTCTTTGTAATATCACCTTAAAAACTTAAATATGCTTTAAGAATAAGAAAGGCTCAAGACATGTTCCACCTTCATGACTAAAAGGAAAAATATATATTCTTATTGTTGCTTTGATCACTGTTATTGTTGTTACTGCATTATTGCTACATTGTGATTACTGTTATCATTATATTGCACCGTTTATTTATTTAGATTTCTTAGTAAATATTTATTGAATTAAATTTGTATTTTTTATTTATACATTTGAAAAAATATTTTCAGAGTTAAATTAATATGTATAAAGTAAAAGGGTCAAAATATAATTACAGAATATTACTGATCAAAGTACTCACAGAATTGTTAAAATACGAATTAAAACATCTAAAAATACCTTCTGGGAATAGTCTATGATATTAAATCCAAACTTAAATCCAAGCTGTCTCCAAACCTTTAAACGGTTCAGTGAAAGATGTTGTGAATAATGACCAACTGGTCTGAACTCTCAAAATCAGAGGTCCAAATACTTATATAAAACATTTATTGTCATGCTGACCTTACGGATCTTGCAGTCAACAATGAGAGACTCAAGAGTGCCAGATTAAAGACTGTTCAAGTAGTTCAAAACAGAGAGAAATAAAACATAGGGATAGCAGGGGTAAAAGCCAAAATCTGATAAAGGTGGGAGACGGGTTGTAAGACCTGCCACGTGAATTGTAAAACTGACCCTTTATTAAGAAATTATGTTTGAACCAGAAAATGAATTGTTGGGTCACGTCAGGTTCAGATAAATGTAAGACAAAGCCCACCTGCAGCTGGACGCCCCTCTTGTCATTGTTGTTGATGAGCAGTCGGATTCGCCCGTTTTTCTCGTCAGACACCCGGAGTGTGATCATGCCCAGCACCTCCAAGTTCTGCAGTCCTCCGTCACGGCCACATGTGAGCGTGATCTTCTCCTCCACTCGCAGATGCACACTGCAACCAGCAGAGGGCAGTAGTCAAATAAACACTGCTAAGACACTACACTAATAGGATTTTATCATTTTTGATCAACATTCAATCATCACTACTAAACTGAGGTGGATTGCTAAAGGGAGGCCCAAAAGAAAAAACTGTTTTTGTATTTATTGCAGCCATACCCAACAAATAGTCTAAACTGGAATTCTACGGCACCTTAAAAGGTCTGCAATGTTGAACAACATGTTTTTATACATGGAAGTTGACCCATGTCAAACCATATGTCTCAGAATGCAGTCTTGAGCAGACAATGTGGAGGGTTACAAGTTAATTTGAATTTTACAGACATCACTAAGGCTATGATGAGGAATACTCCTGCACAATATCATTCAACCAAAGCATTAGTCATACTTCAGCATAATCAAACAACAGAATATCCCTCTGCAAACAAAAGAATACCTCTCTAACTATACTGGGTGGGTGCATCCTGTCTAGCTTGTTTCTAAACGTCACATGGACAACCTCTACAAACCAGCAAGTTATTCAATTTCACCTTCTTTCTGTAAGTACTTCCTTGGGAAGGTGCAGGTTTTACATGGTTCTAATTTAGTTTTTAATTTCACCTTCTGTCTAAAAGTACTTCATAGAGAAGGTGCAGGTTTTATGTGAATCTATAACCTCTTTTTCCTTAGGATTTTCCTTAAGTTAGGATGCTGTGCAAAATGTAAACAAATATAGAATGCAATCCTCTAATTAACTGAAATTAGTATACAACTCATTTTACTGTTGTTTTTTTTTTTAAATGCCCAAAAAAAAACAGAAGAACAAACTGGGAACAAACTGGGTTAATTGGCCACAGGTCAGTAACATGAATGGGTATAAAGGGAAATGTTCAAATTGTTATTTGAATTTGATGAGAAGTTATTTCTGTCTACACAGTCTAATTTCGAAGAGAGATAACCGAATTTTTAAATGCTTTCCGTCTTTCTTTGGCATCAAAAAGAAAAAAAAAATTAGAAATGCAGACCTGATCCTGTCGATAGAGAAAGTAAATCAAAGGTAAATTACTATATTGCGTAATTATTATGTAGTAAAATTATGTAATTATGCAGTTACAAGTCAATAGTATAGCAATAATGAATTCCGTATGGTTCACAATCACAATGCAAGCAGCCGTAAGCAACTGGCCTCCCTGCTGACAGCTGTGACGTACCTTTCTGTGTTAACAGGGGCAGGCAGAGATTTAGAGGCCTCAGAGGGTCTTTTGCCAGTATTTGGTAGGATAATGTTCTCGCCCTCGGACTTCAGCTTGTCCACAAAGTCGTCCACCTCCTTCCCCCTAGCCCCCAGTTTGAGGGCTTTGCTAGAACCGCTAGGCCTGTGGGAGAACGTGGACAGTGAAAGACTTAGCACAGTGAAAGCATCTGCATTATAGTCTATGAAAAACATATCTAAGGCTCTACCAAAATTGTAGCTGTACTCAAGGCTGTTGTGTCTGGTTTTAAGTAGAAGGCTAATTCTACCATTAAAATCTACAACATAAGTGTGCCATTTCTTATAAAGTAGTTGTGTAGCTGTGTGGATACAAAATTAGTTTGGCCAAAATACTGTTAGCTTAGCCTGGCACTACAATCTGTTAGTAAAAGGGGAACTCCACTGATTTTATTTTTTTAAATTTCTGAATAATTTAATGTTTAAGATGTAAACAACGTCATTCAGAGTGGTTTTACAGAAAGTGCTCCATCCTTAAGAACTTTCTTTTAGCAGTGTTGATAGCAATGGATGGCTAAAGAGGTTTATGGCTGTGAAAGCTCCTTCACAGAAAGTTATTATATGAAACTGTTATGAATATGCTGCCTGATGCCTGAAACACTTTTATGATAGTTTTCAGGTTTTTGGCCTAAAATGCATGATTTTAAGTCCATTCATGGCAGAGACATGCATGTAGGACATTGTAAGCAAATTACCACTATTTTAACATTATCAACATTATATATAAAACTCAAAGATGTGTGATGTGTGATGCCTGGTTCCTATCACCACTACAAAAAACCTGAGTTGGCAAGTTTCTCTAGAATGGCACATTTCACATCAATCCACTCTGAATGAATCTCAAACACTATAATAATAAATGCAGATTTTTTAAAAATTCCACTATACCTAATATGTATTGGTTAAATAAGCAAGCGTGAGCATGCATTTTGAAAATGACAGCACTTGCACGGGGGTACCTGACAGGTGCTGGAGCAGGTTTGGGTTTCTCTGCCTCGATCAGTGTGTCTGTTATTATGGCTGTGCTGCTGCTGCTACTGCTGCTGCTACCAAAGCCACCAAAGCCAGGAGACTTCTTTCCTCGCTCAGCATCCCTCCTCGCCTGCTGCAGCTCCTTCGCCTTCCGCCTCATCTCTGCCTTCGCCTCCCGTTCCTGGGTCTAAGGAGACATGAAGAGAGAAACAGTTAAATGGTGAAATTAAGCCATGATGGATTCCTTCTGCAAATAAAACATCTATACTACATGATGTATAGTTTCATCATAAGGTTATTAGGTATAGACCTGCAACGTAAAGTCAGCAAAGTCAATTAGCTGTCATGAACAATTATGGGAAAAAGTTGAGGCATAATTTTTTACAAAGAGAAACATTATGATGTTCTGTAATGTTCATTTAACACGTTCAGTCATTCTCCCAGATTGTATTACACTACCAAACCACTGGAATAGCTTCTATTGTTTCATTAAAGAAGCTCTGTGAGAAAGTATAAAAAATTTTAATGGTGCGATTAGTCAACTGACAGGCGGCTGTACAAATTTTAAAATTAAATTCAATGTCTTTTTTAATACTTTTTATAAGACCTCAACATAGCAAGTAGCAAGAACAATACTATTTCTACCACACAAATTCTACAAACTCAAAATCTTGCCTGGTTTTGAATTGGTTTAATATATAAAATGACCTGTTTTGTTCTGAATCATCTGAGAATTTAATTAAGGATGTCATGATTTGCCCCTTTCCCCCTGCCCTCCATTCTGAGACCTTTAATATGGAGTATCAGCTGATCCTTTGCGCAATCTAGTTTTTGTGTTTTCACAGATAATACAGCTGCATAGTCTAGGCAAGATCTGCTAGGCTATCAGTTAGTACTACAGTAAAAGCACTTCATTTCCAGTATGTGCACAATGTAGCATTCTAGACTTATATGTTTAAGTTTATGGCTTAATGATTTATTATGACCTAGTTTTATTGACCTGATGGGGCTACCAATTACTTTAATATACAATAAAACTTAATATATGTGTATGTTAGTAAGCTTGAAACTATATATGTAATGTTTTTCGAGGACTACTTGTGTGAAATAACCATTATATAGTGTTGTGAATTCACAGATTTTACACTGCTGTAACACCTCCTTTCTTTTGGTTTTGAATGGTAAAGAAAAATGTCTATTTTGTTTTCAATGAGTTACAACTTGCAAGAGAAAAATATGTTTTTTAAAGGATTTTATGCATTTTTTTTCTCTCTGTGGTGTTTACATGAAGGGCAGTTAGTTCAAACACCACGTAGGGCTTATTTTAGTTGATATGCCAGAATCAGACATCTTTAAATTTATTTGAAAAAATGAGACACTTTCAGACTTTTTAATTTTCCATATGTATTTTAAGACTGTATATGCCTTTTTAAGGACCCTGTTAAAGAATCCTATGTCAATGAAAATTGATTATCCATATAATCGTTAGTTGCAGCCCTAATTGAGAACCAAATCAAATCAAGTATGTGCTGAATTCGTTTAGATTCTTGAATAAACTGCAGACATAACTGCCAAGCAGTGGTCTATTTCTTGCTTTCAGCGATGCAGTACTCGACATTTCCTGGAGTGAGTGAAGACGCACCTCAATCCACATTTCATTTGAACTATGAATAAATGTTAATTAAGCACATGAAGCAGGGCAAATTACCCAGCATCTGCATTGCTGTGGATCAGCAGGTCTGAATGATCACTTTTCTTTGCAGCTATGCCAAAGGGCTTAGCCAAGCAGAATCAGCAGACTGCACACTGCTACATATATCAAAGTGCCACTTTTTCCCCGCTCTGCTCTCTCACCTCTCTGACAGCACGGAACACCTTCTCCTCATGCGAGTCCATCTCTGTGAAGGTTCTGATCTGCGCCAGGTTGACGTTCTCTCTGTAACCAAGGGCAACGATCTCATCGAAGGCAAAGATGAGGTCAAAGCAGTGCTCCGAGATTTCACTCTCCTCCAGCACACGACAGTACTCGGGAATCTGCACAATAAACGTAACACTCAGTTTCATAGCAATAAACATTCTTCATCATTTAGATCAATGTTACAAAAGATGAACATAAATCATTTTGATCACATGAAGAGCTGCATGCAAACCACAGTAAGACACAAAAGAGCATCGACATTCACAGAGATGTTGCTCATCTAATAAGTATCTAATAACTACATCATCACAGTAGTATCTCGGCACATATCAAATAGGGAGCTTACAACAATGCGATTTCATTACATCTCTATGCAAAACGATTCAATGCACCATGACATCTCTTGGACTTCAAAATTCAAAATAATTGTTAAAATACATTGAACACACAAAAGCAACCTGAGGAACTATGTACAGAATAGTACAGACAAAATTTTATCTATTTTGGCCAAAAAATGAGGGCCTTTTATTAATCATTATTATTAAGGATGCATTGACAACAATGCTCATGTCAAGTTTTTTTAACAGTCATAGGGAGACCGTATTGTCCTACCCATTTACAAAAACTGATTCTTCGCCACTGCAACGTTACTGTAGTTAAGGTAACTAATGTAGCACAGCTAGCTAATGTATATTATTTAAAAATCAGATGAATTTTTTAATGATTTAACTGATAAGGCGGCACTCATTTACATTAACAACTACTAAGTAAGGTATGTTATTTTGTAAGGACAAGTACCTAAAAACATGTACGAGTACTTGTTCTCAGTCTGAAAAATGGTACCGATGCATCCCTAATTACTATGATCAATTCTAACTAAAATCAATGCGACTGAACCACCAGCTTCAGCATCACCCCTAATATCAAAGCATTCATGTTTACATGTGTCCATCTGATACTTCATACTTACCACGCGTGAGAAGAGACGCAGAGTCTCCAGATCTTCCAGGATGTTGCTGTTCTTGGTGGTGACCAGCACCATGTAGAGCTTCTCCAGAGGCTGGTAGACATAGCGCACACTCTCTGTCTCCACAAACGTGTGCTGCTTCCCCGTGTTCATTAGTTTAGGGAAGGCGGCCAGCAGGCCCTCCACGCGCGTCCGTGTCATCTCCACAAACTGCCGTGACACCAGAGCCTTCCCCGCCTTGGTGCATACTGCTGCAGCCAACAGCACCTGTACATGCAATAAGAACAGTCAGTACATCTGATCCAGCAGCAATGCTACTAGGAAACTCCAGGACTGCAGAATGTATGATTTGTTAAACGATATCAGAACACCTGCCTCCTCACTAATGTTAATGTCATCACAGAGGATTACAACATGCAAATTAGCATTCAATTACTGCATGCAGCGGTATTTTTCATTCATAAGAAGGCAATAATTTCGGTAAAGATAATGCAGGTGATTTATAATGACATCATTAAGTGTTTCAAATATATCACAACAGACACTGCAATGGAAAAATGTCCTCACGTTAGCAGCCCTAACATGCAGCTCAACTGTATAGCTGATTATTGATACACCAAAATTATTCTTGGCTGAAAAACAAATTCAGTACATGCTGGGCTAAAACGAATGCCCCTAATAGAAACTTGAAATAGTTCCATGCAACTAAAATTTTCACTGGTTATCTGCTGCCGCTTAAATAGTTTGACCACATCCACACTGACCAGCAAAGGAAAGTGAAAGAAACTAAAAGTGTTTTTTAAAGTTGTTTTTTATTTTTATTATTATTAAGTCACTTTGTTGTATGTCATTTTTTTAAGTTCACAATTTTTGGCCCAAAAACCAAAAGTGGTACTGTTTTCCATTTTCAGACAAAAATTTTCAGCGGCCAATATTCTGGTGCATCCTTACAGCCGATGTGTCATAGATTCCAGTACAAACAGAGCACCAACTGGGGGATGTAAAGACTAAGAAACAATATTACACACAGAGCTGCTCAATTTATCACTTGTTAATTGTTACAACACTGGCCTTTTACAATACTGACTATGCAGAAGGCTAAAATATGCAACTGAACACTAAAAAATCATTTTACTATGTGTTGTAAGCATGTTAATCAATCTAGATGAGCATTCTGGAGAACTATGTTATACATATAACCCAATAAACAACTCACTTTGGTCAAAGAAATGCAGGCTGATTTTTATCATTATTACTGATTATTGTAAATACTGTATTAAATATATTGCAATAGATTACACTCTGTAATATGTAGTAATACAACTGCAATATGGGACTTTGGAAATACTAAGTAACACTAGACCACTCCTCAAAAAGAGAAAACCCATGTATACAACTATGTGCTCCTTTTTTAGACATTTATCAGCCCATGACTGAGACACACAGCTTCTCCAGATGCATGTGAAAGCTGCTATAACATCTTTCCAAGCTAAGTGCTAATTATTCAGCTTTTTTATAAGATCACGTTGACACTTTGGTTGGCTGATGTTAGGCAGAGTGGAAGCGCCATCCTCTTTCAATCCAGTGAGAACACAGTCAGCTGAACTTTCAAGAATCAGTAACACAACTAGAATGCAAATCCTGACCTCTGCCCTTTAGCCAGCTAAACTACCTTTCAGGGGCCATTAACTCCACACTTCTTGAAGACAGAAGTGCATTCCAACAAGCAGCTAACAGTCCTTTGACGATGAATAAAGGAAACGTCACCAATTACAAAAGTCAGTCTCAGCTAACATTACTGTCCGTGCAAGACCAACCCAAGACTAAACATAAAGGGAAAAAGCCTACAACTTCAAATGATTCAGGTAAAAATTTTTTGCCAAGGCCAGAAATAATCTGGCTGGAACCCGCAATAAATAACACCTCAAATTCTGGTAAAAGATGCTAATGATTATTAGAACGCAGACAACAGATCATAATATTGTTGCACGTGAAAGTAACTTGCATATTAAGTGACCTGGCCATCTAATATTACAGAACACAGAGTACTGGATTTGAAAAAGCTAATGTTTGTTCCCAATCCTATCCTGTAAATTACATAATCCTCCAAGTAAGAATCCAACTACAACATACACCATATGTTCAACAGTCTGAAGACACCTGCTTACCCAAGGTTTCTTTAGAAATCAAGGTTATTAATACAGCTCCTGTCCCTCCTTTCCTGCAGTAAAAGCCTCTACTCATCTGGACAGGCTTTACTCTAGATGTTGGAAGACTGCCGTGAGGATCTGATTGCATTCAGCCAAGAAAGCATTAGTAAGATGTTAAATGATTAGCTCTGAATCACAAATGTCACTTCAACTCATCCCAAATGAACTGGATGGTGCTCCATCACTCCACTGTAATCCAGACAACGCAGTTTCAGTGCTCCACAGCAAAATGATGGTGGGCTTTACGCCCCTCTATCTGAGGCTTAGCATTGGGCATTATGACCTTAGGCTCATCTCCAGCGTGTTTAATTCTATTGGTCAATGCTTTTCTATGGAAATTTTACAAGCTATGTGAAACTTTGTCAGCAATGGGTGAGCCTTGAGGTAACTGAATTTAATAATTTGAAGAAGTGTCTAAATACTTCTTGTCATATAGATAGTACTGGTTTCCCAGGCGTAGATTAAGCCTAATCTCGGACTAAATATTAGGTGGCAGTGAAGAAGAGCGTTTTAGTCCAGGCGTAGACTTAATCTGGATTTGTGAAACTGCCTCATGTATGACACGACACCAGCTCCAGCTGGAAGGCAGCTGTTTTATATGAATGAAGAATGAAGAGAAGTCTGCAGTGAACCGACTGTGCAAATGCTAACGTTAGTTCCCTACAGACACCGAATGCTAGAAACCAAAAGTTGGCACAATAAAACAAACGACCAACATAATACAACGCTATCATCACTCGTTCAATGCAAAATTAAACTGTCTATCGACAATATACCAGCTACGATTACCTGAGACTGTTAGTTAGCTACCAAACCCGCGCTAGCCCTGGCCTACAGTCGCACACTGAGTTGACACTGATGTGGACAGTTAGCTTAGCGCAGCAAGCTAATGAGCAATGTTGACGTTTGCAACAGCAGCTCGTCCTCTTGTAACCTAAATAGAGGATAAAAACAGCTGTCATATTGAGTGGCTGGGCTCCATATTTTGCTTCAACACCACCATAAAAGTGGCCTAATTCAGTTTAACCGGGATGCTAATTTAAAGTGGTTTAAGTCCGTATTTTTTAGCCGCTAGCTCGCTATTAGCTTCGTATGTGCATCGCGTCTGACTGAAAAACCTAAACCCGTCGCTCGATTTTCAACCGTTCATTCAGCAACAAAATGAGACGGACTCACCATTTTTCAGCGTCTGCTATCTTCTTTCGTGTCTAAGCTCCTGACGTCGGCTGTCCTGTGTAATAAAACCGGGGTCGCGGTGAATAAAGGGGTAGTTTGTGCGCGGCGGTCTGCTTGCCTGTCTGCAGCTTCAATATGGCAGAAGCGCTGAGCCACGTCTCCACCGGAAAAGCCCCGTCAGCGGGGTAAAAGGGCAGCAGCACATGTGGAGGATTCAGCATCAGCAGCGTTAGTGCTGTAGATGGGAAGCAAGCAGGACACGTCCTGAAGGGGGAGCACAGGAGAGCCTGTACACGGATACAACTCAGAAAAGTAAGCAATGTCTCAAATGTTTGCTGTTCACAGGGTTGGGCGAAATACTTCGAAAGAGTAATGATGGCTGAATACTGAATACACTGCTCTGAATGTATTCAGTAACGTATTCCATTACAATACATAAAAAAGTAACGTACTGTATGTCTTCTTAATGTATTCAGAATACACTATATGGGAAAAACACTGCTGTAATTTTCACTTAATTCACACTGTTCCTCGCTATTTCTGGCAGGCAGTTTTGTTCATGTACTCGTTCTGATGATATTGTAGCATGTTCGAGAAATTTCTGGGTATTGTTCTCCTGCAGTTATCTGGGCAAAACATTGAGTACCAGTGAGAATTAAATAAAACGTAATTTTTCAAATAGATTACTTTATTAATCCCAGAGGGAAATTCCTCTATTGCTGTAGTACACAGCACAGTAAAGAGCAAAACAAGAGCAAAATGAACAGGAGCGAAGTATCATCTTACAGTATTTACAGATGCATAAATAGAAAGTAAAGATAAACAATGGAATAAAATAAAAATACTAATTTTCTCTTATTCCGATATAACTTTATTAGTCTTTTTTTTCTATTTACTGATTTTGCTAATACATTTTTGCTTCTTGAATCGCTTTTTTGCTTCTTAAAAATGTTTCTTTTGCTTCTGACTTATGGCACTTTTTAAACAGGGGGCGGGTCTTAGAAGAGGGCGTTCACCTGCACCCTCTATTGGTCAACTGATTTGGAGTGACAGGTCTTCTGAACAGTAGCCACTCAGTGGAACCGCCCCCAGCATGGCAGAACACGTCTTGTCTTCTGCTTTAGGTGCAGCTTTGAGCTGGCATATCTGACATTAGGAGCAATGTGTGTCATATTCGTTTTTAAATTATTAACGAAATGTATGTTTATGGGATTCTGTGTTGACCTGTGTAAAAGGATATAATAGTTATTTTGGGCATGGATGAAGCTGCACCACTTTTCCAGTTTGCAGCTCTTTGCGCAGTGTCCTCTAAAGCCAGGGTTCTCAACCTTTTCCACCCCAAGGCCCACCTGCTTATGACTACAAAGCATAGTGGCCCACAGGAAAACTAGAATCATGGGCTGAAAAAGATCAGATGGTCCACTTTGGTTCAATCACAGAAACCACAATTTGCAGTTATATTAAAAAGCATAATAAGTTAAAAAACACATATGTGCAGTGACATTAAAAAAGGTGCTAGGTAGATTTGGACTGTGATTTGGAGCTGCAGTTTACCATGTTTTTGCTGAAAGTAATCCACTGGCTTTCCCAAAAGAGTATTTGTTCTGTCTCGAGATGCATCTTTAGTTTTGAGGCTTTTTGTGATTCATTTGAAATTTCCAAATCTTACTCCACTCACTGGGCTTTTAGATTAGCATCCTAATAATCAACAATAATAATAAACCTTAATATCTGTTTTTTAAGATAGTTCATCAGTTTGATTTTAACCACTCAGGGCCAAAAATATGTCCCCATCCATGAGCCAAAGTCAAACGCATCTCTTCACTATTATTATATTTTACAGCAGCTCGTGCTGCAGAAATGATATAAAAGCAAATGAGAGTCTGTAAAGAGTCAGATGTTAAAACAGGCAGATTATGCTGACAGTACAGCCCCGACATGCTCCTAGACAGAGAAGAAAGCCAGCTCTACTGATGATTTCCCTCATTTCATCACTGGATGCATTTCCCACCAGCAGTGAAGAGGGTTCACTTAGAAGTGGACCGAGACTGGCGTTTTTTGCCAGAGCTATTCAGTCACTAAGTCACCTAAGTACGGGTGGAGTGTTCACAGATGCTAAAATGGAACGAACTAAAAAAAATCTGATGGGTTCACACCAAACAAGGAAGGTGTGAAAGTGCCCTTCTCTGGCATCTGTCTGCATCGTGCGCCTGCTGCTGTGTTGTCGCAAAGTGATGATGTTTATTTAGCTCACTCCTGCAATGTTTTTATTTGTATGTATGTTGGTTATGAATTGAAAATGTTTGATTTTTTGATACTTAATTATTAAGTTAATGTTTTTTCCAATTTTTTATGACTCAAAGTGATGCTACTGGCCCATTACGAACTACTGTCTCCCCAAAGTACAGGCCGGCTGACCACTACAGGATGCTTCAGGCCCACTGGTTGAGAAACCCTGCTCTAAAGGACTAACTAGGCAAGCCATACTGGTAATAAAACTAAACTGCAGTATCTGAAAGTATCTGAAGCTAATTCACTGTACTACTGCGTGAATGTGTGAAGACAAGAATTCAGTTACATTTTGCTAATTAACATCGGTCACACCTGTAACTTTTTAGCTTTATCATTTTATTTTAGGCCAAGAGGGCATCAAAAAGACTTACCCCAAGGATTCCCCTTAAAATAACAAAAAACTTTGACTTGTGTACGTGTAGGAGGGTGTAGGCTCATCGACACATCTGTACTTATTAAGGATGGATAGTACTGCTAGATAAATTCTCTTTAAACATGTAAGAACTAAATTTATACATGCAATAGTTTAAATTTCAATTTTTGTTCAAGTACAAAATGTAATATTTACATTCACGGCATTTGGCAGACGTTCTTATCCAGAGCGACTTACAATTTGATCATTTTACACAGGCAGTGTTAGGAGTCTTGCTCAAGTATTGGTGCTGCCCAGGTGTGGATCGAACCCCACTCTACGGCATAGAAGGCAGAGGTGTTACCCACTACACTATACCAACCACAGAATTGAAATTTAACATGTCAAAATAAAATTTACCAGGAAAATAAAATCTTTCTTCCATTAAAATGAACAGGGGGAAAAAAACATGAATTCTGACAAGTGAAAACTGTTTTCTTACACAATAACGTTACTTAAATAAAGGCTAAATTTTGACATTTTAAATGTTACAATTTATTTTTAAATCATTTAAATGTTTAAATTTAAATTTGATGTACTAATAATATTTAAACAGTTTCAAAAATTAATTTATGATATCAAAAATCCATATAATCCATTAGTATGCGCAGCGCAGCGCCAGCAGGACGCCCTTAAACACTGATACCAATTCCACACTCTTGCATTGTGGTGGCCGGAGACGGAAGCAGCGATGTCCGACTCGTGAACGAATCGATTCGTTTGAACCGGTTCTTTTCAATAAACATTTCGAACCGAGTCAAACTGAATCAAAGTGTTTGACGTCTACACAAGGGTTTTTCAATCACTGGGCCGAGGACCACAAGCCCACTAAGCACCCTTTGGTGGTCCATGAGCCTATACTGAGGGGGGCAGTGGTCCGTAGTGGGTCTGTGATGAAACTTTGTCATAAAATAAGTGAAAGAATAATTGACTTAGCCATATAAAGGAAATGTAAGATGTTTTCAGACAGTTAATAGCATTACTACAAGCCCCGCAATAACAGTGCACAAAGGCAGCTTTTTAAATTTTTTGCCCTTTGCCTCTAGAAACACCTGACCTGTCAGTTGTCCACTTGCACCAATATTCTGCCGATATTTCATGTTCACTGATACATATCACATATTGCAAGAGTAGGCCCCATGTCACTGTGTTGAAAGTTTCCCATAAATGACATTTTAAGCGAAAACATTGAGTTTTGTTTTCTTGTAGGCCTTCATGCTTTCTAGTGATAAACAGGTGGGCCTTGAAGTGGAAAGGTTCAGAACCTGTGGTCTATGCAACCTTTATGACCGTGTTACTGGCTGAAGACCTCTCATAAAATTAGAATGAGAATATTCCTATTTCAACCTGATAAAATAACATTAAACAGCCAGTGAGCTGAATGAACATAAGTACCTTAATGTGTTAAATGTTATGTAAATGCTCATTCTTTGGTTATAGGTGTAGGTGTGAACTATCAAAATGTCTGTGACCTTTTATCATATAAAAAGCTATTTGTGGAAAATGCATTTTAAAAGGGGAAGCAACTTAAAATCCCATTTTATCTCTCGACCTGTCTCAGAAATCATGAGGCATTTTCCTTCTTTCCTATCTGCGAGTGACAGATGGTTTTAGTGAGGGTCTCTGATCTAGCTGAGCATTTCACTTGATGAGAGGAACATTTTTGGTATTGGTTAATATATGGTGCATGGCGGCATAGTCACAAATCTACACTTCCATCAAAAATGACCAAAAAAACGATAATTTTGTCTTTTAAATGTTCCGGTGTGATTAATTGTTCTTTAAAAGACGAGAAGGTCAACAAATATCAACATGTTTAGCACAGAAATGAAGAGGAGCAGTTTTGATGTATTCTAATAATTTCCAAAAAGTGTCTCACATTACCTGATTTGGCTGTATATGAAAGGGATGAGAATAAAGTTGCCTTAACTAATGAAAATAAATTACTGAATCGATTAATTGAACCGGACAGCTCGAACGAGTCGGTTCGGTGAACTGAATCGAACTTCCTCTCACCAGGGAAGTGACATTCCAAACGAGGTCACGACTGGCGGTTGTAGTCTTGGTAGTGGCCGGCGAGGAGTAGTAAAAATCAGTTACACATGTGAAATTCTCGCGGCTGTTTCGCCTACGCGATTGGGAATTCTTCATGACAGAGACGGGACGACTGTTTTCATCGTTGGACATTTCATTCAGAAAGGAAAATGTCTCAAGAAGCGAGCACGAGTTCAGTAAGTTAACCAGAGTTTTGTGATTGAGGGCGAAGAGCCAGTGTTGGGCTTTGATTGGTTATCCGAGACGTCAATAAAAACAGTCGAGCCGTTCTATTGGCTGGCGTCTCACTGCCCGTCATCCATTGGAGGGTCGTGAAGAAAAGGCGGTTTATGTAGAAGCGCGGTGGAAGGAAGCACTTCCCATGGTTTTATCTGAAGTATTAATTAGTGTTAACGCTAAAATGGCCCATTTGGGAGCGTATT